CGTGGGTGTTGTGGCAGATATGGTCACAGGGGCCAGGCTGTGTCTGGCACTCATCTATGTCTGGAAAAGAAGGGGAGAGGGTCAGAGCTGCACCAAGGGTATGGGGCTCGTCTGGCACAGGCAGAGCAGAGGATGGAGGGGGCAGCTCTGAGGCTGGGTGAAGCTGGGACACAAAGGCATCTCCAGTGCCTGCAGCCAAGCAGCTGTGTTGTGGCAGATATGGTCACAGGGGCCAGGCTGTGTCTGGCACTCATCTATGTCTGGAAAAGAAGGGGAGAGGGTCAGAGCTGCACCAAGGGTATGGGGCTCGTCTGGCACAGGCAGAGCAGAGGATGGAGGGGGCAGCTCTGAGGCTGGGTGAAGCTGGGACACAAAGGCATCTCCAGTGCCTGCAGCCAAGCAGCTGTGGTCCTGCCACCACTTGTCTCCAAGGCTGCTGGGTGGAAGATGCCTCCTCACTCAATCAACCCCTGCACAGTCACAGTCTGTCCCTCCTGCCCGTCGTGTTTTGGGTTAGCTGAGACCAGGGCTGTGAGCACAAAAGGGCACCCCAGGAAACAACATCCCTGCTCCCAGGGAAGCACGGCTGCACCTGGCAGTGGCAGGGGGGGGGGGACCGCGGGCGGGCTGCCCGCAGGTACTCACCCAGGCACTGGCTGGCAGCGGGATCAAGGGGGCGGAAGCCTGGGCGGCAGTGGCAGGCGTGTGCCCCAGGGGTGTTGGTGCAGAGCTGGCTGCAGTTGTGCAAGCTCTGGGCACACTCGTCGATGTCTGGTGGTGGGGGAAAGAGCAGCACGGGGTTACAGCACACGGGAGGTGCAGTGCCTGCTGCACCCCAGTTCCGCCAGTGCTGCACATCTGGCCGTGCTCCCAGGGCTGGGAACAGGGATGGACAGGGGCAGAGCTGCCCAGGTCCACCATGCACCCTCCAGTTAGCTCCTGGCCCCAGGGAGGGAGAGCTTGGGGATGTTGGGGTGCTCCCCACCCCTGAGCCCCCTCCCTGTGCAGCCCCAGGGCAGGGTGGGCAGAAGCATGGGCATAGCCAAAAAGCAGGCTGGGCTAATAGACGGGATATAGTTTATTGGGGGGGTTCTCTAGGAGAGGGGCTGGAAGACTGAGCAGGGTCGATATGTTAAAAAACAGACCAGGAGGGTCCTTCCCTGCAGGGCTGGGGGGATCCTCCTCTGCCAGGTCTGGGGAGGGGGGTCCCCGTCACCGAGGAGGGGGCAGGCGAAGCACACACGTCGCAGGCCAAACCAGCAGGCACATGGTACAGTATTGAGGCGACGGAGCAAGCGACCGGCAGGAGCAGCATTGGGGTGGGCAGGTGCCAGTGAAGGGGTGCTGCCCCGGGGCTGCTTTCCCAGACACAGTGCAAGGGGCACCCGGGCTCCATGCCCGTCCCACCACAGACTGCCCCAGTAGGGC